CTTAAATGTCAGTCAGTATTTTCTTTCATACTGATACTTTTTTCATACGTCGGATTGTATAGTTTGAGGATTATTTCAGTTGGAAATCACCCCCATAATCAAGATTCGTTTTTTAGTTTTTTCCTCATATTTTGGTACTTCTTAGCAATCCACAACTACCACCTGAAACCCCATCTAAATCGGGATCTTAAGGTTTCTTGGCAGAAACATCATTTAAACAGACCATTGATTCGGAATTCGGTAGTTCGTGTTTTTTTAGCTTCAGCCATTTTTTTCACCTTAGCTTCATTTGCTGCCTCGCACTCAGTATAGTTGAATCCATTTATGAACTTTTCCGATCAAAACTTTGGCAAATCTTAGTTTGTAATATACAAAGCAATATCATATTATATGGTTTTCCTTCTGTAACAATTATCCGTCACGAATGAACATTTCATATATAATAGAAACTCATTACCAGTTAAGTAACGTTAATAACAGCCAAAACTAAACAGTTAGACCTGTTTCTGAAACCAATGTAATTAGGTGCTAAATATAGTAATTGGTAAAATAATGAACCAATAAATTCTTCATGAAAGTTACATGTGATTTTACATTCCCGGTAATGAATTTCAGCATCCTCAAATATTGATTGTGTGCAAATGTGTCAACTATAAAGATGTAATTCGCACTGACATGTACATGTTTATATTAAATTCATAGTGCATATTAGATTCAGTAACAATATATCAACTAAAATATACATACTGATGATATATGGAACTTTATGCGATCAATAACGTATTGAATATCTTGAAAATATTTCCTTGATCACAATGTAGTAGAACATTTTTGGACAAACAAAGAAAGAATACTATGTAGCTGCAAATAAATCCCCAAAATCAATAGCCTTGTAAGTGTTCGACATTGGATGCTGACCACATTAGGATTCATTTAGCTGAAGGCACTCGGCCATGCATGCGGACCAAATAACGTTTTGAAACGGCATGCGCAATATCTCCTGCGATCACTAGCCAGGTCAGATCAGTCACTTCTCGATACATTGATAACCCATCAAATATATCTTCCAAACTCTTCGCTTCTGACTTTTGATTTTACTGGGTGGGCCCAATTCAATTATAGATGTTACTGGTAAAGTTTTATTAAACTACAATACCTGTGGTATCTTAAACTGTTTAATTCGCTGGAATTTAAACAAGCGATTTCAATCAAAAGAGCCTGATGGACATTTTAAAAAATTATCTGTCATTATGGTGACTGAATATACTTTGTATATTATTTCATTAATAATAATAAAAACTGAACTATTGTCAACCAGATGAGAACCATCACTCTTTGTTCACTAGCATGAGTGCCTGTAGTTGGACGAATGATGGAATTCCAAATTAACACACGGATAGTTTTGGTATATATGGTTGACATCTCAGAAACCTTCGTAATGATTTTAAGGTATTTAGGGAACATTTATCTCGTTAATCGAAACAATTACTTCATATAATTTAATGCCGCCAAAAAGAGGTGACAACAACCTATTTAGATACATTTTTAGGTTCGTTTTTATCAGCTGTGAAAAACTCTATTCTGACAAATCAGACCGTCTTTCACAATATATTCCTATAAATAAGCGAACCTGTAGTGATCGGCTGGTTTCGATAAGAACACGATTGGAATAACAGAAACAATTATTATTATTGTAACCAATTGTACCAGAGATTGTTTTACTGTGTTTGTTTAACTGTATCAGACTCACTTCTTGTTCCGCTATCCACCTCGTTCGGTTCGAACTTTCTTACGCTCTGCCCATTTCGCCTGTACTCGTTGGCACGTCTCGGTATTCTATCGATACCACGAGATCGCCAATAAATATACTTGATCTGGAGCAATTAAAGCCTTCTGGTTTACGCGTTATCAAAGGAACCAAGACGTTTCTGGGCAAGTAATCGTACAGTAGTAGTGATCATAGTCCATCCTCGACTCTACCCTACTACAAACCATTCAACTCAAAGGACTTGTCAAAAACTGATTTTTGAAGCCAACAAAATAACGAAATTATCTTTTATAATCGAAACACGCAACCAAATAAAAACTCATGGAATCATTCAGACGCAGTTCACGGTGTGAAAATATAGCTTGACATGTGAATCTTCACCGTCAAGTCACTTCAGTTCGTACTTTATGCTTATAATGTCCAACATTAGAAAGAAAGTCCAAGGAACTTGGGAAAACTTCAACACATTTTAGTTGAACTTTACCCTTACAATATCATTTTTTTCTGATTCTGAATTGCGACTATAATCTTTCCCGCTTTAGATTTCTTGAATTTTAAAGCTTTTTTGTTTGAAGTCTATTTGATCGACAGGCTGCTCATAGAATTATACAGAGTTTGTCTATGTCTGGTAAATTGCTTGTAGCCAACTAACTCAGGTTTGTGTCATATTAGCCTTATCTCGTAATGGACCAATTATTTCAGGCTTTCGTGTTTACTCTCTCTTGACCTGACATAATCTTTCGTTTTTGATGAAAAGTAAGAAGTAAAAATCAAATCTTTTAGCAAACCATACTTTATGTCCGAACAAATCAACATTGATATTTATCATTTATTTTCACTTACTATTAGGAGAAATCGTAGTAAACACGTGAATATTAAGCCAACTATGTTATATATATTTATGTATATTAGTGTTGAGTTATCCGAGCTAGATGATTTGTTTCCCCATAGAACCATTCGAAAACAAGTACACTAGACTTCATGTTACAGGAGAACTAAAGACTTTTGCAGATTAGAAGCTTTTATATTAAATTTTATCAAATCCGCTGTGTTTTTGAATGTATTTGTTTTATTCAACTTCTAAACTTGTTTGTTTATATATTTATCTCCGGACATTTCGGTTGCTCTTTGTCCTTGGTTTGGTATCTGGAAGCTTATCCACCGAGAACCTAAAAAATTGAAGGTTTGTTTCGTAATTGTTGTAAATATTTTAGAACGATATTTGCGCCCACTATTTGTAATTTACGAATAAACTATTATGCCTTAATTGAAGTTTGGTTCTAATGTTAATTTGGTTTCTTAAGTTACTAGTAGATCGACATACCGTGCTTCAATAACGGAAGAGAACAAAAACTTGGACTGAACACTTCATTTCATACTGATCTTGTTTCGTATTTTATTTTTGCAAAACAGATTAATAGTGAGGCGACATTAGTATATGATTGCTAATATCAATTACTGTATGCAGGTAACCATGAGTATGAATTCGACTAAAAATATGTCAAAGTTTCGTATCCAGGGACCCACAAGAATGTCAGAGATTTTCCAGAAGAACTTCATTCAGATCGATTAGCAATCAACTGGCACATTGACAATGACTCGACCAACGAACCCGTAAGAAAGACATCAATTAGTCACAAGCTCTGAAGTCAACTTCCACAGACATTTAACATGAATTCAGACGTAAACATAGAGGACAAAATTCACGAAGGCAGCTAATCACGAAAATTATTGGAATAAGCCGATATCATTCCTACGGATAGCTATAAAACCCTATTCTTCATAACGTACTCGCTGAAGATTCTGTAGGAAATGACAATAAAGGTTCCTCAGTCAAATTATCTAGCTCGGAGAACCGAACGTAGCCACTTGATCTATAAATTTTTTTAATAACAGTTGCATACAATTTCAGTAAAATTTAGGATCATAGGAATCACATATCATTGGGGAAGAATATGAACTATCGATTGGCTGAATTTTCCTATCGATGTTTTTGACCGCGATTGCCTAATCACCTTCTGAAAATATGCACCCTGTGCGGATTGTCCTAATGAATAACCTGAGCCACAAGCATTATCAGCAGTGACAGATGATGGCTTGCTGTGGAATCCAAAATAGGCTGATGGATCACAAATAAAACGAAATTCATACAAGCTAGACAATAGAGCTTAGAGATAAATCTTAAAAAGATAGACCTCAATACTTGAAACTATTCTCATTGAGCTGTTTTTATTTACTAATCTCCTTTTACTTTAGGTCATGATCATGTAGCAGGTCTGCGCAAATGCATTGTAACGACACGTCTAAAAATAAAAGGAATTCAGTGTATGGGATCGCATAAGCTCAAGTCGAGAAAAAATCATTTACACCATAGGTAGAGGTCTGTTTTCTGCTTGCCCTTGCAGATTGATGACCGTATCTTATAGGCGATCGCTATTATTTGCGAGATAGACCTCAACTTCTCTAATGTCTTCGAGAAAGCGAACCTTCGTTATTATACTGGTAGGACAAAACAGTTGGCTAGGTTCACCACCTACGATTGTCACCGGCAAGGGAGCTTCCGAAAAATTAAGACATGGAATACTCTGGGTTTACGTGCGATTCCTGGAAGGCATGCCATTAGTTTTGTGGTAAGAACACCAATTTTAGATGTTTATTGGTCACTGACTTATCTCAGACGTAAAACAGTTTCCATTGCCAGGCTATATAACAGTTCGATATCATCGAATGTCTCGCTTTATGTTTGTTGGTTGGGCCTCTGCACTTAAAGATAGCATACAGGACAGTTTATCATAGGAATTTCTTTACACCTGCAATGCAACGAATTAATCTCCTAATAAGATTAATTAATTCTTTCTTATGATTTTTATCTACTCTTCATTATTACGCACTCAGTTCTTGTTTTTCCCCAAAAAAACTGCAACCAACTGACTTAATGCCTGGTGATGTTAAGGGTGTTTGTCCTAGAAAGCCTACCGATCTAGGACAAACACTCAGAATGCAAGATACACAAACTAACAAATGACTACCGAACTAACTGGAGCCAGTACAGTTAAGTGACCACACTTTACGTAGTTGAACACTGCTAAAAAACCTTGCTGAAGAAACAACAATTAAACCCAAAAAAGTTCTTTTGTTAGAACCGGTTTATCACAAGGCTATTGGATATTGTTCGTCTGAATGCTATAGTAACACAAACGAGGTGTTTTGAATCGCAATGATTTGCAAGCCACCATTTGGCAGTATCACGGACAGGTTGACATTTATTATGTTCATGACACATATTTAGACAACGAGTTAACGTTCATCCAAGATGGATGAAGGAAATCTTGTCCACTGACATTGGTCCGGGTTCTTATGAATGTGATGAATCACTGACACTGAAAAGAAACACCATAAATACTCCTAATTTAAAGAATAATATATCAGGCTGGAAAAGGGAATATAAAGTGCAACGTAATGCCACCATACCGAATTTATTCACTCGAAATCTAAAACTATTAAAGGAAGCTCAGGTAAATATAATTGTTTTAAACGTTTTGGTGAGATACATGTCGTAGGGCAAGTGAATAATAATAATGTTGTTATATTATGATTTTGGGGTCCGAAGACATTTATATTACAACTTTTTGTCATGATTGGGATTTAGCTTTTACGTTGTTGATTACTCCATGAGGAACAAAACTACCCAACAAACCTTCCTGTAGGGATTGTAGCTGTAAATAAATCTTCAGGATTTAGTTGGTGGACCTATAATTTATATGGAGACAGTGACAATCTGCTTATTAGATTTTATTTAATGATCAAGAGTAACGTAAATGGCTTTAATGATGTTTTCTAAAGATACCCAGCAACAAACACTATTCATATGAACTCAGTTTCAGTTTCAGTTTGGAAAGGACAGGAGGCTTGATGGCCTGTGTTAGTCCTGGCAATGATGGTCTCTCAGCTGATCCAACTTTCTTTTGAAGGAGTCGACGGATGGAACCTCAACCACGTGCTGAGGTAATGAATTCCACTCGTTGATTATTCGATGGGAAAGTCGGTAGTCAGCTGACAAGTAATTCGTTCTGGGCTTGTGAACGTTTTTGGAGTGTCCTCGTAGATTTTCTGTTTTGGAAGACAAGAAAAATGAGGGCATATCATGTGCAAATTTGTCATTAAGCAATTTGAAAACTATAATCAAGTCACCTCTGATTCTTCTATATGACAGCGGGAATAGGTTTAGCTTGGTCAGTCTAGTACCATACGGGAGCTTCGCTATTCCGGGAATCAGCCTAGTTGCTGTTCTCTGAACCCTTTCCAAGAGTTCACTGTCTTTTTTAGTCAGGGGTTAGCTGCTTGTATACAGTACTCAAGTTTAGGGCGTACGAACACTGTATACAAAGTCAAAAACGTTTTAGCGTCAAGATGCCTAAAAGCCCTGCGTATGGACCATAAAGTCCTAAAACCTTTGGCGGCTATTGCACGGCAGTGTGCAGTAGTCTTTAAGTCTTGACTGACGATGACGCCCAAGTCGTTGTGCGCCTGAACAATAGGTAACTCAGTGTTATTCATCGTGTATGTATCTGTACCCTGGTGGCCAATATGCATCACAATACACTTGGAAGTGTTTATCGGCAATTGCCAGGTTTGGGACCATTCAGATAATCTCTCCAGGTCATTTTTAAGTTCTACGCTATCGCCCTTGCTTTGTATCGCTCTCCATATCTTGACATCATCAGCATAGAGTAAGACCGATGACGATAGTTGACGAGGGAGATCAGTTACGTACAGGAGGAATAACACTGGCCCCAAAACTGTACCCTGGGGGACTCCACTAAGCACAGTTTCCCAGCTAGACAACTTGGAGTTCACCCTTACTCTTTGTTGACGCCCAACTAGGAAGTCTTTTATCCACATCAATAGATTGCCTCCAATCCCGACATTCCTTAGCTTATATAACAGCCGGTTATGCGGAACTTTGTCGAAAGCTTTGCTGAAATCGATGTAAGCTACGTCTATAGGTAATTTTTGGTCCTTAAGAGCGCACCAGCTTTCACGAGCGACTAATAAGTTTGTGAGACAAGAGTAACCTGTTCTAAAACCATGCTGCTTTTCGGAGAGGACTCGGTTTTCATCGAGATACTTTAACAGTTCCTTCCGAATAATCTTTTCTAAGATTTTAACAACCACACTAGTTAGGCTAATTGGTCGGTAATTCTCAGGCTTATGTTTTGTACCTGTTTTGAAGACTGGACTTACTATGGCGTTCTTCCAGTCTTTTGGTAGACGACCCTGGGTTACGGATAGATGAAAACATACACTTAAAGGGTTCGCAACAAAGTTAACTAATTCCTTTAGTAACCTAGGATGCAGTTCATCGGGTCCAGTGGATTTACCTATGTCAAGCTTAACTAGCAGACCAAAGGCATCGAGTTCTTTAATGGTTACGCTGTCCAGTGCTTGTGGGGGGGGATTTTCATGGACTGGTGAGAAGGGTGTTTCTATGGTGTATACATCGCTAAAGTATTTAGAGAATACTTGAGCTTTGCCAAAGTTAACCTCCACTAGTGATGTGGCAGTACTGTCTCCCCATAGTGAAGGAACATTTCTTCTTCTTTTTATCCTTTGGTTTATATACGAATACAAGCGTTTAGGGCATTCTATGGATTCCCTAACGATTTTCTCTTCGTACAGCTTTCTGGCCTTACGGAGGGTCGAGGCACAGGTATTTCGAGCCTTTTGATACTGAGATTTTGCCTCGTCAGTCCCCAGTAACCTAAATCTGTCGCACATTTTCCTTCTTTTACGGAGAAGGATGCGAACCTCCCTACTGAACCACGGTGGGGAGTTTCTCGGTTTCTTAGGTGTAGTCCAAGGGATGTGTGGGGTGGTAACTTTTAAGTATAAATTCCGGAATATGTCCCAAGCTGTTTCGATTGATGACTCTGGGTCTAATTTCCAATCTACTAATGATACTGATTTCATGATGTCTGGTATGTTTGTTTTCCAGACGTTAGGTCTGGATTGAGCTGAAGCGTACTCGTGATCGACAGTTATATGGAAGTCAAAGCTTAAAACTGCATGATCACTTTTGCCTAGGGGTGGCATGTAATTCAGGTTTGCAACATCATCCTCATAATGAGTCAATATAAGATCTAGTAAGGATGATGCAGAACCCGGGTCGTACCTAGTTGCTTCCTTCACGTGTTGCACTAGGGCACATGTGATTACCGCATCAACTACTTCCTGTTCGAAGGAGTTTGCTGACGATTCAGTCCGCAGGTTTCCCCAGTTGGAAAACGTAAAAAAAATATAAATTTTAGGATGTAAGAACTCAATAGTATCCTAAAAGATTTGAGGTTATAAGATTCGATTTTTATCATCTTTCAAGATATCTAAACAGCTTACTTGAAGGGAATAATTGTCCCAGTATTTGGGTTAGAATTTTTGTTGAGTTGTCAGTAAATGCTCTATATGCCAGAGGCATTCGAAGATATATTTGAGGAGCTATCGATATGTCAACAAGCATTTCGTCCAAGCTGAATAGCAGTTGCAAGGGGTGCGTAGAAAGGCTCACGCAATCGAAATCTGGCGCGGATGAGTGACTGAGAGCACTCATCTAAGTTGTGTACTGTAACGTTAATGAGATCAGAATCAACGTCGAAGACTTACAAAACTATTTATTTTATGGGCTTAGTTCCCCATACATGCTTATTTCAGTCAGATAGTTTTAGGACATACTTCGTTAGTTTTTGAATTAATCAACGCAAATCTTCAACCTTCTAAAATCAAGCTCTATGTAGCTCACACAATTTATTTACCGTCGCAGTGCAGGCACAAAAGGTTGTAAATGCAATCTTTTTATTATTTTTCTTCATTAAATTTTTGTTTTGAATAAAACGACGGGTCATTAATCAGTCGTTTTTACAGTTAAATGAGTTATTTTTGTATTATGTAAGGCTGTCAAAGTATTGAAGTTTAACATACCATCATTTAACGCAATGATGAAGCCTAATGAGACGTTGTTTGCTCGTCTTATTGGGTTTGGTTTGTCTAGTGACTGTGAATTCGTTCACTTATCATCAATGTAATTGATATACATGAATTTCTCTGACCTGCACAACTCTATGTAAATGTCTCGAAAACGTTACTGAAGATCATTTCTAAGAAATACTTAATTTCACTCTTTATGAAAACATCAGTTGTTTCCACTACAGGAGAACTACGGATTCTATCTGAATGGCTGATATTCTGCGTAATAGTGATGTAGAAAAGCCACATGTACATTGTGGTAAAAGGTTTCTTCTTGTACTCAACAGTTTTACTGAAACTTCGGTAAGTGCAAAACCATTCATTGTTTAGATCAATTGAATTTATGGCAAAATAGCGAACATATTTACATTTGACACACATACAGTATAACTTTGAGATCTCCCAGAGCTCTTAAACAACAACAGATTCTTGTGAAACTGACAGTTATATATATATATATATATATATATATATATATATATATATATATATATATAAAGCGAAAATTCCCATTTTGACATTTGGCAAAAAGGACGAATAGAGCAAGTGAGTTTAAACAATTTATCTCCTTTCGCAATTATATTTTTGTGTTCTCAACACCCGTCTTTTGATTATTACACAACTGCTATAATACGTACCTTCTACCAGAATATTTTGTAAATTCCTTTTATATGTTATGTATTGTAGCAATCGTCTATTTTTTCAGATAATTAACTTGGTTATCGGAATCTCCTTTCCTCTAATTACTCAATATTATTTTATAACGACTGTGACATCATGTACTGACTACGTAACGCAGCTACCCCGTGAATATTATTTCATTGTTGTAAATCATATATATATATATATATATATATATATATATATATATATATCATGAAAAGCTAAATGAAAAGAAATTTCTTCGCTTTATTCGTTTTTTTAGTTTTATATGCAACATGAAGTTAATTCAACTTTTAGATATATCATAATACAATGTTTTTTGGAATAATTTTTTTAAAGCAAAGAAATCTTGGACCTGGTCGGTATAACCTATCAAGAGAAATGCAAACAAAAGGAACCTCAGAGTTCATAGGACCCATAAATACAACTTCGGCTCGCTTTTCGAAACTCAGAGGAGTAAACATCAAGCCTTTTAAAATTACCTTTATGAATTCTTTACTCAGAATGATACTCCAGGAATGGGTACTTATGGTATAAGAGGTGATCCTTATCTTTATAAAGAAATAATGGACGCGAAACACAAATCGTGTTGCACAAAGGGCTTATTAGAATGTGGTGGGGATGGAAGTCGTTCGTTACCGTTGACAGTAACTCAATTGATTGTTCAAACTAATGTTTATCAACAAGGGGTGTCATGTTGCACCAGGTACTTACGAACTAAGTGGTTCGGTACAGAAACTACTGGACAAAAAAACTGGGAAACGCGGACCTTATGATTTGATGACTGGACCGAGGAGTTTTACTTATGTGAGAAAGGGTTTTGATATTCTATTTCAAATATATACTATATTCTCATCGGAATTTTGTTTGTTGAAGTTATACCTAACTAATATTTTTACCTTGTGACTGATACTTTAATAATGTTTGTCTATGTTCTAAGATGGGATAATTATTCTCCATATTTTAACTTGTTTTTGGTATGCCTGATTTACATAGTTGTAGAAAGCAAAGATAACAAGCATTTATCGGGAACACTTGGAAAGTTAAGTATAGAATGAGAATTAATTAAATTGAACAATAACGAAAAACAGTTTGTTCAATATACTCATCCAAGCATATATATACGTAATATAATAAACAGGTATAGAAAAAAATTATCTTGTTGAGCAAGAACAAGGACTTCACCATGATTATTTCAAGTCCTTCGTGTGCAAATGTTTCGAAGATTAAATGCGGAAAATGTCCTATTTAAAAGCAGCAGATAGGAGCAAGGGTGTATAGAAAAATTATCTTGAAGAAATATGGCTTTAGTTAACTTTGAAGTGTAAACAGATTATAAACCATTAAACTTTATTACTTTTGCTTTCCGTTTTGCACAACTGAGTTGTTTTATCCTTCAACAACTTTACAGACTTCTGAATATCCAGAACCAGGAACCTATTCATTACCATCATTTACATCCAACCTTTTGCGGCCAGAAAAAAAGTATACAGGGATGTTTCGTAGACTTTTAGTTGATCAAAGAAAAATGGATCAGTGCTATTCTGCTAGGATGCAAAACGACCTCGTAAAATCTAAGGTAAGACTAATGTGCTTGGTAAATTCTTTTGGTTTTCCAGCAGTTATTAAAATTTCTTAGTTGAATATTAAGCAATGAAAATGTATTCTAGATATGAAAATCTTAAATAAAATATTATTTTCGCAAATAACCTCAGCATAGTCAATAAGACTAACATGTGGATGATTCAGTTTACCGTAACACCAGATGATATTTTCAACCACAGTAAGTCAGCTTACTGAAGAAGGTTCAACAGTTCAGAAGCTTATAACAAAGCCACAAAACTTCAACTATCCATTACTTATTAGCTTCCTTTGCTTAATTGATCATCGCTTAAACAACATAACATTCGCTTGTATGTCTTGTAAAATTTATGCAACAAGGTAATGATATTCATACAAAACAAGAGGATCATTAGACCATATAGGGAATATAATACTTGAATTATGAGCTAGACTACTAGTTATAATATTTTTCCCATCATCACGTTTTATAAATATCACGAACCAATAATGACATCTAGTTATGTTTGTTGGGTTTCGCTTTATTTTTTTAAAGATAGGACCGGGATATTATGATCCAAAATATCTAGATGACAAGGATAAAAGTTTTAATCATCAAGCCCCCCCATTTTTGTCCAGCGCCTCTCGTAATTCACACTCAATATTTGTCAATAGACAGGTAATTGCTTTTTTATTGAACTGATTTCCTTACATATTTTAAGAGAAAAAACAAACTATTTCAAAAATCGGATACTGAATAAAAACCTTTACACTTTTTTTGTAATCTGCTTATTTTTGTACTGGCGCATCAGCGTAAATTTACAAGTAACCAGCTTTCAGTATTTGAACAAACAATTAAACGAAACTTCATGTTCCTCTTGTGACTTACAGTGTCGAATCCAGATACTGATATACAATCTTCCTAATATATAGGCTCAACTGGCTATCTGGGCAAAAACACTGATAATGAGAAAGCAGTTTGCTGGTCAAACAGAAATTGGCATTCATGCCTTCTCATATATATTTTTCAAAGATTGAGATATACACCATTAGTGGATATATATATATATATATATATATATATATATATATATCCACTAATGGTGTATATCTCAATCTTTGAAAATGCAAACTAGTCAGTCATGTGCACCTATCATTTAGCCGATTTCTGATGAACCCACTGTATCAGTTAAACTATCAATACAGATCAAATCAGTTCTTTTAAAAACTGTTGGAAAAGTAACCTTACATTTAATAAATATCTTAACAGAATATTCATCTGTGTCTTGAGTATAGTTAAGTAAATCTCTTATTTAGTGGATACATAGTTGACGTTTAAAACACACATAAGAGGTTCAAGCACACATATTTCTGTACAGGTGATGTTGATTATCTTAATAAAGCACATATTCAGAAAATATTTATGACCTTTTAAAAATGCAACCTAAAGGCTATTAGACGGTATTTAACTAGTCTATAACTGTAAAATATTTTTTTTGTTTCCTACTAAACATTAGAAAACTGTAGATTAGCACTGACGGACTCAATATTTAAATAAGTTCATGTTAATTATTATACCTGAAAGCTCTGGGTGTAATCGGTATTCGTGAAACTTTATAAATAAGGACTTGCAATTTGAGTCAAAGTGACTGATCATTTATACTTGATGTTCACTGGTTTCTTCCGAAAGTCGTTGTACGATAAATGTAACTCAAATGATCAGGTAATGGATTACCCATATTGATACGGGCTGAAAATGAATATCTTTGTATAAGAAGCTATGAATTCATCAGTTGATTGTATGAGATAAGCTATTATACAGAATGAGAACCTACTCAATAAATAATCACGCAGATTATTAATTTACTAATGAGCAACGGTAATTATGAAGAATGAGTTCAGAGTATCCTGTTCACCGTTTGAGGTGATCCAAAGTTATTTTCCCTAAACTTCAAGTGTCTTTCAACATTAAATTCCTCCAAAAATGACACTGTATTGTAAACTGAAGATCATTTTCTTTTCAATCTATTATTATCTGAATCTTTTGAATATATATATATATATAGTGATTTTTTCTAACCTATAAATATATGTGAGTTTGCATTTCACATATATACGTTAATCAAGTTATAAAGATAAATATCTACTACCTATTAAATGAATAAGTGTAATTCGATATTGTAAAGAATATTATTATCTTCCTTTTCCAGAGTCCAGTAGGTCCTGGACGTTACAATTCAGAAAGTTATGATCGATCACGGTGTATATGGGGTGCTATGTGTTCATTTGACTCTACCTCGTCTGCACGTTTAAGTCTAAAAGAAACTTCACAGTTAAGGTAATTGGTAATAGTTTTTCAAGTTATTATTTATTTTCATTATGGAATTGTTCACCAACACGTATAAGTGATTATTATTCAATAATAAGGAAATCTAGAAGATATTACTGCACTGAGGCACAGCCCAGAAAAAGGGGTACATGGATGGAAAACGGGAAATTATGTTAAAAATAATAGAATCTAATAAATTAAAAATGAAGATTGAAGAGATTTGACTGCTACTTACAGTCACTTTATGATATAATACAGTGCTTTTGTCCATAATATTGAAAGAAAACCATCAAGCATTCCAAACAATTCTACAAAACATTCGAGCCTATCCTGATGTACAGTGTTATACATAATACATAGAAAGCACGTAGAAAATTAAATAAAATAGAGATTATCAGTAAACGTTGAGTAATTGCTGAGTTCTAACTGAGATCATAAACCGATCAATGTTAGGACACCATTGAAGTTAGACATTAACACCGTTGGATGCCGACTCAGTGATCTGCAGCTTATGCGTTTGCGCTTGAGACCGAAGGTTCTGAGTCCAAATCCGGCGTGCGGGATTGTAGGAGCCCACTGGTGAGGAGTCCCACATTAGGGCGAAACGACCGTCCAGTACTTTCATGTTCTCAATGGTGGTCCAACAGTGATCAGTTCTTTGGTCTCAATTAAAATAGAGATTATCTGAAAGCTTAATCTAAACTATTAACAAAATCTGAAAACAGCAATTCACGAATGAAAGTTATTAATATGAGTGAAAATCCATTTTAGGTAATCAACAATTTATATGGATTAACAAATAAACTTGTCTTAATTTTCATAAACTTAACTGTCCGTCTGTATTCTATTAATTATTAGAGAGAGATTACGTCCACTCAATGTTACATTTAATGAAAAGTCACTTATCAACAACAACAGATCACGTGCTATCCCACTGATAGCTTAATTGTCAAAGCTACAAATGGAAGTAACGCACACTTTAAATTGTTATATTACATACTGTACTGTTTTAATCAACATAAATAAATAAACGAAATGTATTCCGAAAATCATTGCAGAAAATATTCCAATATTTCATCATTGTAGTGATCATTTTTATATTTGTAGATTCTACATTGATAATCACGTTTTGAAGTAATAACTTTAGTTCATTGTTTATTATTATTACCATCATTATTATTATACATGATAACCATGACATTCTGAAATAGATCGCAACAAACTTTGGTTCCTTTATTTGTTATTAGTGACTTCATGAATAATATATTTTCACTCAGCCCATTTGTAATGCTCGAATGAACATTTTTTATCATATTTAGATTTTTAAATCTTTCCAAACATGTTCATTCAATTTCCATGGATTTTTACATTGTATTTAAATAAATTTTATTAAACATTTGAATTAGATTTTTGTTTTACTAATAGTTTCAAGTTAGTTTATAACTCTAACATGAAGCATAAGTCTACGATGTTAAATAAATTTGTAGGCAAGCAAATGATCAGCTCAGTAACTGTAAATATGCATTAATTTGTATGAATTTTCAACTATCATTTCTCTTCGTATGTATTTCATCACGTAAAAATTATGATCTAGTTTCCAATAGTATTCTATTTGAAATCAGTATGTAATGAATACAACGTTCGAATATTATAATCATTATTACCATTTTATTATGCTAGAAAATAGGTATGTGACTTGTTAAATCTATGAAGAAACATTTTCATTTTGTTTGCATATAATGCTGATCACAAATTAGGATGAGATGTATTTTGAATATTAATAATACATAAATTAAGTCAGAGTGAGATCTTTATGATGAATGGTGAATATAAAAGGTCGTTATCTATCCCACAAGTTAGTTCTATATTTGTATTGACACGTTATAAAGTCGACTGATTGCGCAATACATAGAAATCAGTGATAATGACTAGTTTTAGTACTGTAGTACGTACGAGAGTGTCAGCATGGTAAGCGTTTGGTTTTTTTCTGATGACAACGAAATTTATTGTCCATGAGTTACCAAAATAATAAATAGCTTCATTCAATGAAAACAATGATTGTTATTTTAAGCCATATAGAAATGTATAACCTCCTGTTTGAAACTCATTTACAACCATAATTTGTAATTAGAGATCTAGGGTAACATAGTTTGAAATTCAATGAAGTGATGTACAAGATTTCACTCTTTGTTTGCTTACAAGTAAAACGTTTTAGTATTACCTTACACTTCTTATCTTTTGACTTCATGTACGCTTTTTGGTTCATATTATCTGTTTACTTTTCATTACTATTAGTTTCGCTAATATCATTCTATTATTCTTGACTGTTATCTTATTTTTATCACCTCAGTCTTTACAACAAATGCTGTGACAAGAACCGTTATAGATGTTGTACAGTGTTCCATGCAATTTGTGAATGATCACTTGATTACATTTATTAAATATATTTGTTTCGACCAGTTAATCATTGACTAGAGAGATAAATATGTTGCTAGATGAGTATGATGTTAATGGATCTGATCAAAAATATAACAACTGGTTTTTTACGGTAATCTATGTAGTTACTTATCGTGAATTCTCATTCTTCTTACATTATTTCGGTGAGTGAAAATTATACTGTGATGGCCTAATATTAAGTTAAGGTGATTTTCGGCATGGAATAAACAAACATCGTCTCATTGATATTTGTACACCCCGAAAACGCTAAAATTTCAAAAGAGGAAATTGTCATATGGAATGTTTTAATTTATTGTAAAAGAATATAATTGTTTCAAGGTCATGTTGTTGATGAAGAACTAAGTATTTATATCAACAAACTAAAATTAAAGCGAGTAGTGTAACCATTTTATAAGTAAAAAAAACTATTCAACAGTTCAAAATGAGAAAGCTTGTTTTCCTTGTTTTGAAATATTGCACAAACTTCTGGGTACGTAAAATACCTTAGTTTGAATAAGTTTACTAAAACAATTAGAGAAAAACAAATTACCATGAATAAACAAAATTAACTTTTAAAAAAGAACATTCAATTTTGTTATTAATAAATGCATATTTCAAATTATAAGCCATGACTACATTAAGATTATGTACATTGTACAAAATACGAATTCAAAGCTGTATAGACGCCTAGTTTCATATTATAACAGTGGTCCTAATTTACCTTTATCCAATAACACAAATCTGACAGTCTTTTTAATTCAAACTATTCTGTCTTCAAACATTTCTGATGGAATGTTCTTCACTTCAGGCTTCGAATTGGCCGAATCAACATATGAACTAATTAGTGATTACTTTTTTTAAAAACTATTATACCTTTTCCCGAATTCAAAATAAAAGTAGGTTAAAACTATGGATTTAAAAAAAATGTTATTTCATGCACGATTCACTTACACGTGAATCAGTGTAATAAATTTTTACACGTATGCTTCCAACAAGCACAGTCTTATTATAGCAAATGTGCGAGTTCATCTTGTAAAATTTAATAGATGTTGCTTTTTGTTTCCTACATGCCTCTTACCCAGACTTGAGCTCGAAAACCATCGATAAATCTAGCTGTGGGTCAATCAGCATGGTTTTGTATGCAGTTAAGGATTGGAATTTTATTTGCAGCTACCTAGGACATAGTATCCCTGTATCAAAAACAAACAACTAATAATTAAATAACCCATTGTGTCATTGAATAAAAATAAATAGTATTCAGCCAGGAAAATTTTCTCTACGACGAAACCATATACTCAATGTGCAATTCAAACATAATGATGAATTTTATGGACAAGCAGATGTAGGTGCAATGGGTTCACCATTGGACCACCTCTTGGTTGACTGCTTCATGGGTAATCTGGAAAATACGGTACTTCGACCAGTAATTCAGAAATTTTATTTATACAAGAGATATACGTATGATACTTTCATTATTTGTGAGAAAGATATGAACCTTAATGAATTTTGAATCTTTTCGATAATGCTCAACCCTCATTTCAATGCATGTTGGAAGGAGAGGCAAATGAGGAATTGCATTTTCTTGATATCCGATTGAAAAGGTCAGACAGTTTTTACGGGGATCTATATATAGGAAACCGACTTGAAATGAGAATACACGAATTTCCATAGCTGGGTCCCACTGAGTAGAAAGAGGACCTTAATTCATTCTTCATGCTCAAGACTCAGACGAATATGTTCTGCTGACGCAATAGATGATGAACTACTTCAACTTCGACAGACACTCATCAAGAATGGTCATCCATCTAGATTCATCGATAGGAACTTAACACTTAATCAACATCCTGAAAAAACATAAACAGTTCAAAAGAAAACTCTTTTAATGAATACTGAATTGAATGGAGATACGGTTGCCGAAATCTTGAATAAACGGATTTCAAAATACCTTAATAAAACCTACTCAGCTAATATTTATATTGCCTTACCAAGCTTGCCTATCATTCACTGATATGTTAAGGATAAACTTCCACTTTGGGTCACGTCAATTTGCAACTATGACTTTTCTTGCTCCTGTGGGACAGGCTAAATTGGCTACACAAAGCGACCGCTTTCTAAACACATCTCAGAACATCACTCGGTGTGGTTTTTAAAAGAAGAATGCAAACAGTTACCAGTTCAATACAGGAGTATCCGATCAATTTTGGACAAGTCACTCCAAAGAAGTCCTCATTGAAAGTAATCTGCACAATCAAAGGAGCTGGATCAAAAGGAAGTCAAACCAAAAACTTATACATTGCTGTGAAGTTGGCAATCCACCAATTCAAGCTCGAATTCTGCATACGAAACCGATACTTCAAACCCTTCATCTTTCCATAGCCATAATTATCTTCTGTAGTATGCTGTTTTATATGTTTTTTATTAGTGTTTTGTAATTTTAAACCGTAATAAGTTATTGTTATTATTATCTTTTAACGACTTTTGATGATTATTATTCAGTTATTACTATGATCTTTATTTTTTTCGTTTTTTTTCAAATCTGTCAAGCGGACAAGTATCTTTCATAATTTTGACCTTCTACTCTTATCTAACTCCCTGATTATTACATAGCCTCTTTTGAGAATTGCAGCGTTGAATGACTTCATGATGCAATCTTTTCTATCCTACTATAGAAAAATATTTACCATACAATTATAAATACGAATGTACAGCTTAAATAAATGATTTCATCGAAAACATTTTATTCAACAAGCTACTAACCTATGAATTGATATTTGCTTATGTCTCTTTAGAGACCAAGATATAAATATGCAAGAATTCACACGTGTTAATCAAGGATTAATTTTACTTTATTTAGCAAATATATTATGAAATTAAAATCCTATAACACAAACGGTAATTAATTAATTGTACTGTTCACCGTATGCATGTATACATCAATTTTCTAGGTCATTGATAAAAATTTCACATTCTTATCTTCAGACACAAAGTAAAATATCTTCGTCGATAGAAACATTACAGAGATGTATTAAGATACAAACTAGGGCATTCTCTAATTTTGAAAGTAAATACTTTTAGTTAAAAGTGTTTGTTATCAGATGATAAAAATTTAGAAGTTTCAAACCTTTACTGAAAACGTTGAGCGGTTAGAGGTTATATATCCAGGAAGCCTTCGATATATTTTATGTGATATTTAAAACACTAGCAGACCATGTCTGCAGTCTACGGGTAAATAAAACTTCCCGTGAGATTAAAAGTGTTACATTCAGATATGTTATCACATTTTTGATTAATTAATCGTACTGGTTTTCATAACAAACGAGCAAAAAAACTTACAGTTTTCTTTTCTAATGTAGTTGATAGATTAATGGAAGGAATTTTCATGTTAACTAGTTTGTGAACATCCTCTAATAATAATTTGAAATTATCAGCTGATGAAGATTTATTAGCCCAAGACTTATACAGTTTCTACAAATGAAATAGATTATCATAACCAAAATACGGTTTGATTTTAATTACGTTATATACAAAAAATCAAACATCATGACAAATTATTC